CAAATCAGAGTCAAAGCAACATTTATTCCATTCCCCACCCTCACCTTGCCACTTAGTCTTTTAGATTAAATAAAGGCTAATTTGACTTTAAATATGAAGAAAAATCTGCATTTTAGAGCCCATTTCTATTGGTTTGGTCCTTTTATCTAGCATAAAATGTCTGGAGCCGGAGTAAAGATCTCAGCCTATCTGTACTATGTGTCTGTACAGTACCTCGCACAATGAACCTCGATCTTCATGTGGTGCCTCTAAGAACTTTAGCAATCCAAATTAACAATAATAAAAATTGACCATCCAATAGTAAGCCAGACAGCAAATTACATTCATGAAAAAAAATTAATGAAAACATGATCAGTTTCCAGAGCAGGAAGAGGCTAAATTCACTGAATTAAACTATTTGTTATGAATTATTTGCTCAGCTGTATAAGTAATAATAATTAAAACTCCCATAGCTATTATGTAAGACACTGTTAGCTGTATGGCTGGCATGTGTTTCCTCTACACATAAGGAACTGTTTAGTCAGAATGTTAATCAATGGAGTCTATGCTTATAATTTCCCATTAGGTTAATTGTGCTCCCGTTGCATGAAGAATAGACCCCCATTTTATTGATCCATCAGTCATATGAACTGTGAGTAATGGGTTTAAATCCCAAAGGGACTGGAGAACAGTATGGATGGGTTTGCACAGTGCAGTGTATGCGTGAAAGCAGAGAGAATGCCGTTCTTACGCCACGCCCATCACCGGGGTGTCTGAGACCCCAGGGCTGGCTCCGAAGCCCATTGAAATCTGCTCTGGTTGACTTCAGTGGACTTTGCAGCTGGCTCCTAGTGAAAAGACACCACACAGAAGTAGAGCACACAGACAGTCTCCTCATTCCAGATCCTCTGGCTTCTGGCAGTGCTGCCTGCGTTTTCAAGTGAGCAAAGCGACACTCATTTTTGTAGTTGGAAGAGTTTGCTAGGCCTCATCTTGCTCCCTTTGCCTTTCCTGGGAGTCTTGCCATTTTCTTCAGTGGCTGTAAGCCTTTAGGCTCCGCCTAAGGTCAGCCACCCGGCGGCTTGGCCATGCAGCATGATGAATATGCTCTCAGGACATCCACCCGCCCCTGCTCTCTCCGACTCATCCAAGGCTGTGGCAGCAGAAGTTGGCAGTCTATAGAATAACTGCAGACTTCATAATAGCCTCTTTGTGCCAAGAGAAATTTAGGTTTGATTTGAATAGCATGCAAGAGAAGCCCCTGGAGGAATTTCCTTCAGTGATTCAGTATCATGTCTCTGCAAGGCTGTAACTTTAAAGTGACAGACCCTTAATTTTTAAAAGACTGGATTTTAAAAGGCCACAAATCTGCCTGGTTTATTTTATTTTATATTTTTTTTAAATTTCTCCTGCTTTGAAATACAAGAAACAGCTTTCTGCCTTTTATCCTGGTGGAACTATCCTGTGGTGCTTGTCTCTCATTGTTAATTAGAGCCACTGCAAACTCTGCCATGCCATCAGTGCTGGATTATTGGTTACATGCTCTTTATTTGCATTGGGCCAGACTCTGAGGTCAGGTACTGTGGTGTAAAAGGAAGAGACATGCCAGGGGAATCACTGGTGTTCTTTCTGATTTAATCTGGTGGCAGGGAGAGCAGAATCCGAGCCCCTTACAGCTTACACACCCCAATTCACATATGTTGCCTAAGCCCACTCTGCCCACAATTTATGCATCATTTGACAACAGGAGGTTCATCTTCATGTTGGTTGGAATTGGACACTGGGTGTTAAACGAATGCACTTCTACCTGTGCTGTCATGTGGGGACAAAAAGCGCTGTGCTTTGATCACTGGCATTTGCTCCTTTCTTGTTCTGCTCCATTTCTTTTTTGCAAGCTCCCTGTGTAGCCACTTCTTACTCAGGGCTCTTGGCACTTTCCTTTCCCTATGCATGGCCAGCAGGTGAGTTCTTTGAATACTTAGAGGTATGGAATTGCTTCCCTCCTTTCTTCATCTTCCGTTTGGGCCTGGCTGGAAAACAAGAGTTAAACACGGCAATTAGTGACCAGGCAATAGAGCTTTTCTCCTCTAGGACACAGAGCAGGACTTCCAAAGGGGCCATGTATCGGAGGGGTAGCCATGTTAGTCTGAATCTGCAAAAGTGACAAGGAGTCCTGTGGCACCTTATAGACCAGGGGTCTCCAAACTTTTCAGCCCGAGGGCCGCATTAACTATCAAACAGCAGTTCGGGGGCCGACTACACACTTGAGGTCCAAATAAAAAACAATCAAAACATGGATGTTGTTTTTAATTATTTATTTAATATTATTTTATTCAGTTATTATTTAATAACACATTCATACACTACACATGAACACCTGTATTAGTGTGAATGGTGAAATTGTTTCCTGGATGCCAAAATAGCAGACATTTCTGGCTTTAGATTTGTTGTCCCTAACATCAACAGTGACCTGAGATTATCATCGGACAAGTTTGTTCTCAAATTGTTCTTCACGTATTTCATTCTTGAAAATGTTTGTTCACACAGGTATGTTGTTCCAAAGATTGAAAGGTACCTTGATGCAAAAGTTTTGACATTAGGAAAGTCTTCCTTGGGCAAAAACTGGTAAAAACCCACCAGTCCTATTTTGAACTTGTCCCTAAGGAGGTCATTTGCTTGCAACTCAATGACTTCCAGCTGCAGTTCATCTGGGCAACTGGCCACATCTGCTTCAAATGGGTTTTGAAACAATCTCACTTCTTCTGCCTTTGAATCCAAAAAGGTCTCCACGGGCCGGATGAGAGGCCCTCGCGGGCCGCATCCGGCCCCCGGGCCGCAGTTTGGAGACCCCTGTCTTAGGGTATAGATTATTGTTCAAACATAAAGACTAAAATGAAACAATTGAATTGAAAATGTGGACTGCTGCCCACTGTAGGGCCATTAATAACGATAGATGGGCCAGAGATGCCAAGTTCAGATCCAAAGCTGTATGGACACATCTCTGCTAATAAACGGGCTAGATCCTGATGTGTCATAAATCATAGAAGTGCCACTGCCCGCAAAGGAGCAATGCCAGTTCGCACACAGCAAAGAAAACCCTGCAGCTGACCTGGGCTGACCAACTTGGGCTTGGGCTTCATTGCTGTGTGGACGGATATTTCTTTGCTTTGTAGACATACCCGCTGTGGCCCCATAGTAGTACATAAACCAGCATATCGAGTGCTGAACAGTTGTCTTGATTTAGTTGAGTGCCAGCGGATCAGCTCTGGAGGAAATTTCACGACCACCACCACCATGGGCAGTATTGCATAGCTGGGCAAGTGGCTTATGACACGAAACATGAGACATTAGCCCCGGCAGATATTTATTACACAACTGACACCATCCCTGGTTTTCCTTCTCCTTTGTGGCCCCTCACCTCCGCAGAGGAGTCGACCAAATTCAAGGCCACGAAAATCCCATCATGGACTGTGCAATCTGACTACCCCACAACACAGGATCTCCACTGTGAAATATGGTCTCTAGGCACCCAGCTCTGAAGGCATTACCGCTGCCAGCAGCAGTACTGAAGTCAGGGTAGCCGGGTATAGCCAGCCTTGAATACTGCAGCGGTGCTGCCTTCAGAGTTGAGCTTCCTGGTAGTAGCCACTGTTCTCCAGGTGCCCAGCTCTGAAATCAATGTCACCAATTGCAGCTGCAGAGAAGGAAGAGAGACCGGAGACGGTATTGCCATCCTTGCTTCTGTACTGCTGCTGGCAGCGGCACTGCCTTCAGAGCCGGGCACCCAGGTAGCCGCTGCTGCTCTTCTGCCAAGCAGCTGCAGGCAGCACCTCCAGCAGAAGCAGCACAGAAGTAAGGATGGCAATTTTGTGACCTCCTAATAGACTTGTGACTCTGTTTGGGGTCCAGGCTCCTTGCTGGAGAAACGCTGCAGGGGAATCACATATTTTTCATAAGTTCATTGTGGCAATAAAAAGCAAATTCCACAGAGATGTTAGATCCACGAAATTTTCTCTTTACGATGTAGGCAGAATCTGAAGGAATGCTCCCCAGACAGCTAGCTGGAATCAGGGAGAGACCCTATGTGTGTCTATGTAAATACAGTTTGCTCCTGCTTTGCTTAGATGTGCCAGCTATTCAGCAGATGGAGTGGTATTTTACTCATTGCAATCAACTTAATTTGTGACCTGGCACCAAGCTATGTTTGTATTAAGTATAGGAATAGGTGAAATATGCTTAACAAAAAAAGCATGGGAATGTATGGGAATACAAAAAAAAAAAAAAAAAAGCATGACTGAGCTTAATCTAAGCTTTCAAAGGAAAGGGCTCCCAGCAGAAGGAAACTTGCTGAGCAGGGGTTCGGCTTTCAGAACTCTATGAGGGAACTTCTACGCTGCACAGCTATTTCAAAACAAGCTAATTATTCCGAAATAGCTTATTTTGAAATAGCACGTCTACATTGCAGGGAGGCCTGAAAATTAGTCCGAGGCAGGCTTCCCTAATGTAGATGTGCTATCTCGATTGAGAGCCCCAGGAGGCACTGGGGAGGGATAACTTAGAATGACCCTGATAAGGGGCTTTTTTGAAATAGCACCAGTGGAGAATATACACAGGCCTTATTTTGAAATAGCTATTTCGGAAGAGGCATGATTCCTCATAGAATGAGGTTAACAGATTTCAGAATAAGCCGTCCATTATTTTGAAATAACGGAATGGCTGGGTAGACGCTTGCATTGTTCTTTCAAAACAACACTAGTTGTCTCGAAATAACAGTGCCGTGTAGACGCACCCTCAGAGAGTAGAAGGGGAAGAGTAGGTCATTCTGGTCAGGAGGCCGTAGGCCCTTCCTAGAGGTACCGCCTGGACTGGTTTGACCTGTTCCTCCTACCGTTCAATGAACCGAGCAAAATAGGGGTCACGTGGAGCTTCTTTCGGATGTTAATTGTGGTAGAGCTGTGTTTTTTCTACCCTACCTGCTAAGAGTTAGAATCCCTGGGAGCTGAAATCACATGAGGCAGAGATCACAGCCAAGAGGTGGATGGCAAAGACTGGTGACTGACAGCCAGCAGGCTGGCAGCAGAGACTTGCGATGAGAAGCCAGCTGGGCAGATGGTAAGTAAGATGCCTCTTTACCTCCCCCCAGCCCAGAATGGGAGGCAGAGGTGACAGATAAAGGGGGTGGGGAGAGCCACTGGCCATTGACCCGCCCCTCAGCTCAGGAAAAGGCTGGGACAACCCCTCTCCACCCCAGGTCCTGTCTCCCCCACACCCCTGCTCTGCTGCTTCCTGCACCCCGCCTCTTCCCCCTCCCCTGAGCACAATGGCTGTGTCTAGACTGCATCCCTTTTCTGTAAAAGGGATGCAAATTAGACACATTGCAATTGCAAATGAAGCGGGGATTTAAATCCCCCTGCTTCATTTGCATAAACATGGCTGCCGCTTTTTTCCGGCTCGGAGCTTTGCCGGAAAAAAGCGCCAGTCTAGTCGCAAATCTTTCAGAAAATAAAGCCTTTTCTGAAAGACCCCTTATTCCTCTTAAAATAAGGAGTAAGGGGTCTTTTAAGAGGAATAAGGGATCTTTCAGAAAAGGCTTTATTTTCCGAAAGATCCGCGTCTAGACTGGCACTTTTTTCCGGCAACGCTCCGAGCCGGAAAAAAGCGGCAGCCATGTTTATACAAATGAAGCAGGGGGGGTTTAAATCCCCGCTTCATTTGCAATTGCGATGTGTCTAATTTGCATCTTTTTTACAGAAAAGGGATGCAGTCTAGACACAGCCAATGTGGCTCTGACCAGGCCATAGTGCAGCAGGACTTTCAGGTGAACAGATTTTTTTTTTTCTGTGTGGAAACAGAAGCTGCAGCAGGATCCGTTAATGCCTGCACTTCACACAGGGATGGAAAACGTGCTATTTTCACTCACCTCAATCAGTCAAGATTAAGGCCCCACTGTGGTGGACACTGTATATAAATATACAAAGACACTGCCTCTGCCCCAGAGAGCTTGTGATCTAAGGCCCGGATCCTGCAGGCAGCCAGTGGTCTGCACACACACAACTCACTGCAGGATCGGGGCCTAAAATGTCTGTATGCATATGAATGTCCAGGTTCATCTCTGCCTGCTCCTCAAGGCCCATCAGCCTGAACACGATGCTGGTAATTTATTCTGTATCAATTTCAAGGTATATTTTACCAATTAAGTGAAATGTGATTAGTGAACACTGCACTTTCACAGGCCTATGACGGCACTGGTATTTCAGAACTGTTCTGGCTAGGAGCCACCGTCCCCTGCCAGGGACCATGGACTTTATCTTCTAGTAAAAAAGGAACAAAATGAAAAAGATCAGAAGGAAAGCTCTCCAGGAAAGAACAAAGTTTTACTTCAAGGTACTGCAAGATAACCACTAAGGGCTAGAGGCACAAAGGGGACTCTAATTTTAAAATTAATTTTCTTTTCGTACTTCTGGAAACTGAGGTTTACGGTTCTGGGCCCTGTCCTTCTCCCGATGTAATCCATGAGATTTTTGCCACTCATTTCAATGGGAGACAAGCTCAAACCCTTAAGTCCTTTATTTCCCTCACTGCACGTCTATATAGCAGGGCTAAAGACCAATTACGCTACGTACCTTCAGCTACGTCAATTGCGTAGCTGAAGTCGAAATAGCTTAATTTGGCTTTTGGCGCTGTCTTCACAGCAGGAAGTTGAAGGAAGAGCACTCTTCCATCAACTTCCCTTACTCCTCATGAAATGAGGGTCAACAGGAGTCAGAGGAAGAAGTCCTCCAGCTCAACATTATTTCGAAATAAAGGTTTGTAGTGTAGACACGCACTGTGTATTATTTCGGAACAATGTCGGCTACTCCAAAATAATGCTGCTGTGTAGACATACCCGGAGTGTCTAAAATTAGGCACCAAAATAAAAGCAGCCTGTTTCTCAGTCGTGCGAACAACCTGACAGGCATGTCAAGTGAAGCTGTGGATCACCTCAGCACCTCTGAAAATTTAGCACCCTCTGGATATGTTTGGGGAGAAGAAATTTCAGTTCCCAAGATGGAGCATTTTGGCCTTAGCATTTTCCCTGCAGCAGATGATAAAAATCACACACTCACTAGAGTGTGAGATAAAGGAAGAAATCGCAATTTAAATGGTTACTAGCATAGACGACTCCTGGCAGCACCGTTTCTCTCTGCCTGTGCCAAAATCTTAATTGCTCAATGGGGTGCCCCCTCATGCACCTCCCTGTTCCTCTAGATGGCCCTCCCCACACCCCCTTTCTCTGCAGGCACCAGTCACTTACAATTACTAGGAAGGGTTAACTCATTTCCTTCACAGATAGCGACTTTTCAGGGGACTTTTTCAGCGTGGATGCCTCTGTCTATGGTAAAACATGTTTGAATGGATCTATCTTATATTTCAGTATAGACAGGAAGACTGCAGCTAAATGAAGAGCATCAGATACTCGTTTGTGCTGCTCCCGCCCTCTCCTCCGAGCGTTTCCCTTTGCCACCTAAACTGGGATGTCTGTGAGGGAGTCCACCACACCCTGCGGATACAATGGTGCTGGATATATGGGAGGTACAGGACATTGGTAATTACACTCAGAGACTTTAAGATCAGACAGGAACATTGTGACATGAAGGCTCAGGGCATTGGTAATTGGGGTACAGAGATGTTGCCTTTGAGATCACCATTCAAATTAGCTGTGGTTGCTGAGAGCTGTCAGCAGTTGATGGCTATTTGGGGGACTGTCTGACATGAGGTCAGTGGTCTCGGTCCAGTTCTAGATGGGCAATTAGTCATATCACAGGAACTGCGTTAACTGGCATCCTTGTTGGTGGTCTCACACAAGAGGCAAGGGGCTAAACTGCCTTCGCCTGAGGTAGAGAGTTTCCCTAGATCAGTGTTTCCCAATTTTATTTGGCCACGGAACCCTTTTAAACTCAAAAGAATTTGTGGAACTCCTAACAGCAGTCTTATATATGGAGCTGAAAAAGTAGACCACAAATAAGTAAGGATAATAATAAACAAATGTTAAACAAGGTCATGAGATCAACACAAATGAAAACTGGTTTCAATAAAATTCATAAATGCTTAATATTTATTATTATTATTTTAACAACAACATGTTATTGTAATGGAATTTTCTCACGGAACCCTTATTTTCACTTCGCGGAACCCCAGGGTTCCCTGGAACACCGTTTGGGAAACACTGCCCTAGATTAAGGTGAGGCCTGCTGGGGGGGAGGGGGGCACGGAAAACACTCTGCTGCTGCTGTGGCTGTTCTGTGGGCTACCTGGTGATAGGAGTTGATCCGTCCTGTTCACAAGCCCCTGGCGCCTGCTCTGTGCACAATATTTGCAAGAACAGTTTGGTCTCCACATGCAAGACCCCCAAGTGGCCTAATGCTCTAGAACAGCCCACCAGTCTGCGGATTTAACAACAAGTACAGCCATTGTTCTTTCCACAGTACTGTGTAACGAGGGGTTCATGCTAAGAGGTACCAAGCATTCCTCCGAGGTGCAGAGTGCCAACAGCTCCAAATAACATCGACTGCAGTAGCGCCTACTAGTTCTGCCTAGGCATAGCTAGTATCTAGCCAGATCAAAACCTTGGAGATCAATCTCTTTAAAGCCAGTCATTGTCTTGCCACGCCACTCCAAGATGGGACTCCTGGCGTGGAGACTTTTCAAAATCTTATGGGACCCTTATTTTATCTCAATCTTCTGCTTGCCACCTTTGGAAAAGGTGCATTATATTCCCAGCGTCATAATAGCATCACGCAATGTGATTAGAAGGGTAACGTTAGATGAGCTTTTTTAACCATGATTATGGGAGTAACCTGATTTACAAGTTTGTGATGTGGGCTTGTAGAAAGGTGAGGGGTTTGTAGCTCCAACAAGACTTTTCAGTAGTGAGAGACCTGTGAAGAGCGTAATATGATGACTAATGTGCATCTTACCAACGTGCTGCAAGACTATAATTTTCTCGAATGGTTCTTCTTATCCTATGTAATAAACCATGGCAGAGCAGCACAAGATGTTCCTAGCACACGAGCCTGAGAAGCAAGGATTTTATTTGTAATGAGGACAATATAATGACTCTGAATTAGGGTTTACTTTCCCATAACATTTGGTTCTTCTGCCATAGAACCTGCATTGATACTTGCTCCTAGCTATTCCAAGGACTGATTCTGATCTCAGTCTGTCTGGAATAACTCCTCTGACTTCAGTCGTTGGCACCTGCATGACTGTGATTAGAATCTGGCCTTCTGGGGTAAAGAAGCAATATCTTGCTCAACACCCAAAGCAACTTGGGATAATTGACTTTAAATGACACCGTCAGGGCTATTTCCCTAAGCAAACTGATCACAGTCACTGTGCTTAGGGTACAGCTGATCCTGGAACTGGCACTCTTATTTCTGGCTGATGACAGAGCAGACAAGAAGTCAGGAGAGATTAATATCAGAGACAGGCTCATGGCGCACCAGTCAGATCCCCAAATCTATAATGTCACTGGGTTCCACTTCAAGGTTTGGGTTCAAGTGTTTCTCCAGATAATGCATTCAGCCCAGGATAGGCCTGCCTGACAGGCACTAGGAATACAGCACCCTTGGCACTCGGTCCTGCACATAGGATCTTTCATCAGAAGACACCTGCCTGAACCCCAGTTTGACACTGTTCAGATGATGGCTAGATGCTTTTACTGGGTGAAATTCTATGACCGGTGTGATGTAGGGGGTTACAATGGTCCCTCATGGCTTTAAAATCCATGGAAGGCCTAAAATACCTTCTCAGTAAAGCCAGCAAAGAGCTACTTATTCCTTGCTCACGAATCTATGCTTTTGTGCGCCATAGTTTTGCCCAGCGCCTTGATACCACTGTGATAGGCAAACAGTGTGAGCAGGTTAGACTAGACAGACCCACTGACACCTCAAAACACGGGAACTGAATAAAATGAGGGAACTGAGGGATTTCCACACCGAATGACCAGCACCTTCACAACATAACTGCACTGATACATTCAAATTACCCAGACCGAGGGCTGAATTAAGGAAACCTAGCACCTCAGGCAACCCAAAACACAGAGACTCCTCCCACAGAATCCTGTCTCCATGCCATGGCCTTACCTCATCCTACAATAGCAATACGGGGGGACCCTTCATCCGCCAGGAACACAAGAGCTGGCATTAGGGGTGGGTACCAGTATTTACCTCAAGAGCTATTGCTTGGGGGGCTACACCAACGTTACTGCCATCTTCTCTTTCAGCCACTCGAGAGTCCTCTGCAGGGGGGATGTTTTCAATCCTCCCAGACACGAGTACTGGAGATAATCCCCCACTGAGGTGCCTGGGGTAGGTCACACTTCTCAGAGCTATTGTTTCAGGCAGACATCACAGCATTGGTTACACCTGAATCCCATTTGTTCACAACCACAAGAGCTGCCAACTTACTTTGGTTTAATGCAAGTGGAGATTCTGAGGTAATCACAGGGTTGAGGAGCCTGGGCCTAGACATGGGCTGCTAGTGCTTATGCCCTAATCTAGCCTAGAAAGGTTCTTTCATTTTAACCAGGTTTGCACGTTTGCAAACATCCATATTGGCATTTGGAACAGTGTGAAGTTACCTGTTTAAGTGTTACGCATCCTAAGGCCACCTGCTCCGCTCCAACTAGTACCAAGAGCTGCTAGAAGTCTAGGCTGTTAGGGGTGGACACACCGTGTTTGACCAGAATTCAGACGGCTTAGGCTGATTCTGTGAACACAGGGCTTCTCTGTTCTAGTCTATGCAGTAAAAAACAACAAATGGTCTGGTAGCACTTTATAGGCTAACGAAACATGTAGATGGTAACATGAGCTTTCGTGGGCACAGCCCACTTAAGCTCATGATACCATCTACATGTTTTGTTGGTCTATAAAGTGCTACCAGACCATTTGTCGTTTTTTACTGTAACAGACTACCTCGGCTACCCCCTGAAGCTCTATTCTATACAGGCTTTGATACTGTGCTTATCACTGTAATACCTGGGAGCCTTCCATCAAGTGATGCGACTAACATCTATCATGTGTTTGTTCTCTCATCTGCTCCCCGGGGAGAAATGTGTGCAGTGTCTTGTTTTGTAATTATATGCGTATAAGTATAATATGTAACCCACACACCTTAAGGGCTGCGTCTAGACTGGCAAGTTTTTCCGCAAAAGCAGCTGCTTTTGCGGAAAAACTTGCCAGTCTAGACGCAGCCCTTAAGGTGTGTGGGTTACATATTATACTTATACGCATATAATTACAAAACAAGACACTGCACACATTTCTCCCCGGGGAGCAGATGAGAGAACAAACACATGATAGATGTTAGTCGCATCACTTGATGGAAGGCTCCCAGGTATTACAGTGATAAGCACAGTATCAAAGCCTGTATAGAATAGAGCTTCAGGGGGTAGCCGAGGTAGTCTGTTACAGTAAAAAACGACAAATGGTCTGGTAGCACTTTATAGACCAACAAAACATGTAGATGGTATCATGAGCTTAAGTGGGCTGTGCCCACGAAAGCTCATGTTACCATCTACATGTTTCGTTAGCCTATAAAGTGCTACCAGACCATTTGTTGTTTTTTACTGCATAGAATTCACTGTGTCATGCAGTGGCACCTAGACCACAGCAACAGATAAGAACAAGAGACCTCTTCAGCATGGGCTGAAAGCCAGTTGACTTTTGGTTCAAAGGGCAGAGGCGCCTATACTAAGCTCCAGTGGTCCCCGGTTCAGATCCGCCTGATGGCGGTTACAACGTGGTGCTACATGCTTATGTTAGGGAAGGAAAGTACCTTGTACTTTGAGCAGAAGGTTGGGAGGCTTGGAATGAGCCTTCTATCCTGGGGGAGTTCGTTTCACAGCCCGGACTGACCCCAGCACACGCTGTCTTGGCACAAACGAGCTTTCCCCTTATTGGAGAGAGTTCCATTGTGTCAGAGGAGAAGAATCCTTGAGTATCAGGGGATCTTTCAGATTCCCCAAACTTAGGTCACTGAGCACAGTGAAAATAAGGCCAGATACTCTGGACTGGATTCAATATCCTATAGGAAGCCAGACTATGAAGGAGAAGTCTGACGTGCCTGTGTTGCCGTGCAGTCTGAACTAGTTGGCCTTTCCTAAGTGCTGAAGGTTTCCTGGTCAGGTACATTGTGTAGCTGTAGTCCAGTCGAGAGATGATGTAGGTGTAAGTAAATAAGGCCAGATCATCACATGCTTGGATGGGACAGAGCCTCCTAGCCAACTAGAAAGTGTTACTTGCCGGAAGCTGCTGTTACATGAGTTTTGTGCAGTGAGGAATCCAGGAGCACTCCTAATTACATGCTGAATTGGCCAGTCATGTATGAAGCTTCAACCAGAGGAGACTGCAACATGGCTGCAAGCACTTCAATGCACTTTCCTCTGCCCACCAGCATCATCTCGGTCTAGCTCAGGTTCAGCTTTGTCCATGAACTACAGCCGGTCCCTGAGTTACGGACCAACATTTGGCCCATAACTCGAAGTGTTCGTAACTCATATCCCATAGCGTTATATGGCGACCACACTGTTCGTAAGTGCGGATTGCCGTTCGTAACTTGGATCTGCATTTACGACCGCTTTGGTCGTAAGTGCGAATGGTCATAAGTGGAGGTGGTCATAACTCGGGGAGCGGCTGTAATCTCATCCAAGCACTGGACCATCTTGGTGGTAATGATGTGGTTGTAAATGGCGATAGTGCTCCTTGTAAGCAGAGTGCTTGGGCAGCCACCCAGGAGAGATGCACATACCAGCTGATTTGCAGAGTGAACACAGTGCCCACAGCCAGCAGCATGTGTTTCTACTGGTGGTGCACATCTGCACATGCCTCAGTGCATATAACAAAATTTATTCTGCACAGGGATGGAAAAAATAGAGGGAATATTGGTGGTGATGTATAATTAGAGCTATACAGGCAGTCCCCGGGTTACGTACAAGATAGGGACTGTAGGTTTGTTCTTAAGTTGAATCTGTATGTAAGTCGGAACTGGCTTCAGCCGCTGCTGAAACTGATCAGTTTCAACAGCAGCTGAATCTGGACGCCAGTTCTGACTTACATATGGATTCAACTTAAGAAACCCAGGCGTCCCCAAGTCAGCTGCTGCTGAAACTGATCAGCGGCTGATTCCAGGAAGCCCGGGGCAGAGCAACTCTGCCTGGGGCTTCCTGTAGT